GCATCTCCCGTTTATAGGGGCCAGGGCAGTTGTCAACCATTCAATAACGTCCAATTGCCTGAATTGATCCGACTTGTCCGGAACTCCAGCACACACAACAACCTTGTTTGTGGTTTCATCTGAGCTGACCACCATTATCGGCATCCCCTGCCAGATTTATCAAATCCTTATTTAACTTTCTAGTTTCCATTTATAGCTATTTAAAAGTGAAGCGTTATAAGGAAGTAAAGATGCCTTCTTTTCCATGACTTCTAAAACAGCCGCTCGAACAGCTACTAAATCCAAGCCAACATCAACCTTAACTACGCAAAAGGTCTTCCCATCTGATGTTGCAGACTCGGCTGCCTCTGTTGCTACTCTGACAGCTTTCGTCAGGTTTTGCTCGGCTATTTTCTTTTGAGCTATTCGCACTTGGTTCTGTAAGGTAAAAAATAGAAACTTCAATATTCTGTTGGTCATAAACTACGCACTGTAAGGCAGGAAAATAGTTTACCTGAAGCAGAGCAAGCTTGGCCTTGATCAAATCAAATCAAATCGTAATTTTTNAGGAAGAACTATTGATCCCTCCTGTTTAATATCGTCCCCAAGTACTTTCTGGATTCATGAGAAATACAGACTTTTAAGAACCATTCGAAAATTAATGCAAGGTTTAGTAACAGAGAGTGTACCAAAGGCATTACATACCTTGAGGGCAAAATTCAGTATATGTGTACAAGTATGATTAGGAGCAATGAGTTTACGTCTCTCATAGTCAACCTACATGATAAAGAAATATATAAACTACTATATTTAGATAATATTAAGTAAAAGCGAAACGTATAAGGCAAACTGTTTACCTTGCAGGTCACTTTGTCCCCCACCAAAACCTTTCCAGTTTTGCTAGAGAGAGACCCAATATGAAAAACAAAGCCCTTAACTGTCTGCACATTGCATACCTCGAATGTACCAAATGAACATTCTATAACTCCTGTGTCAAAAGTCTGTTGCCAGAGTAAAATGTTAGGTGCACATAATCCATTTACCGATAAATCATGGAAAGTGTATCAATAACCAGATCATATTAATTGGGTAAGTAAAAATATTTTGTATATGTGCAGCTTTAGCTGTCAACAAGGACTTCAGAACGGCATTGTTCCACAAAATAAACTCAATGTATACAAATTTAAACGTTACGGTCCACTCGAAGATGCCACATATTTGTATGATCGGAATTGAACAAAAATTAGCAAATTAAATAACATATCAGGTATATTACCTGACCACCCTCTGCTCAGCATAAAAACTTGTAGACGCTAATATCAGCGCCTGATTATCGCCACTTTCCAGTAAAGTGTGGACAGCTTTTAATTCAGTTTCATGATCCTGCACCAAAATCCAGCAGGGTAATAGCACATTAAGAGGGCCTATGAGGATAGCAAAATCTATTTAAGGCTACATGCCCAAGCTTCTTTCTTTCAAGTAGAAAAAAATATATTAACAAATAGATTGTCTAGACAAAGAAGACAAACCTTATAACGAAGGTACTTAAAAGAATCATCTGTTGCCATAACGCCATCTTTGAGAAATTTTGATGTTGCATCAACATCCACTAACAAGGCAACACCACCTTGCTGCCACATTATTGATATTGTTAGTGGTGGCTCTAACACTAAAAAAGAAAAGTGAAAAGAGAGAGAAGCGTTGGGAATACATCTTTCTGGGCGTTTTTCGATTTATCCTTCGCTTCTTTCATGGCTTTGTTGAAACCGCCAACATCAATAGTCAATCCTTTCTCTTCAGCCATCAACTGATACACGGGAACAAAATATAAGAAAGAACACATAATTGTGATAGAGAACTACAAGTGAGCTAAATACCTGCGTCAAATCTAATGGGAAATCATGTGTAGTCCACAAGTCAAAAGCAAACTGCAAAAAAAAAAAAAGGATGAATGTTGAGATGGCAGTGACTGCAACATTCGAAACGAAAAAGCATAAAATCTGTTAGATGCATGCCTCCCCAGTAAGAGTAAGCTTTGTGAAACTTCTTAATTCCCTGCAGTGGGAATTTAAAATCATTTAAACAAAACTCTTCTTGTCCAAACTGGATGGTGTTCTTTTCATGTTCCTTCAACTCTGGAAAGACATCGCCCATCACCCGAGTAACAGAACTCACAAGCCTACAGGTTTACGCACAAATGATCAGTGACACTAATGGTAAAAAAAAGACATACACACTGACCAAGTTTACAAAATTGCAGGACACAAAACAAACACGTTACAGCCCTGAAACTCAAAGAAAACATGCACCAACAATCCAATGTACTTTCTTACCTGCTGAAAAACCCTTCCTCAGCATTTAAGCGGACTGCTCGACGAAGAATACGCCTCAGGACATGCTCACGACCCTCCTTACCTGTATGAAAGCATATGATCTTTATTTGAATACTATAACTGAGACTGACTAAGATCGTAAGAAACTTTGAAAAGACCATTATGCCCAACTTAGAAACAAGCCAACCCCCCTTATTCAAAGACTAGAAACACAAACTCAACCAAATGATTAGCCAAGCTCGAGGAGAGGTATGAGCTCAAACAAATGATAAAATATACTAATCGTTTGCAAGGGGAGGAAAAGAAGAGTAGTGCAAGAAATAATGGCAATACCAGGACGACATTCATCCACTATCGCAAATTGATAAAGTTCTGATATGATCAGCAATGACTCTATATGCCATGTCAACTCTGTCAACATCGTCCAGGCCAAGTTTTCCAGAGTATGCCCTAGCTCCCGTGTCCTAAAAATGTTTGAAACCTCGAGTTAGATTCACAGCAATTAGGGTAAGGACAGGTCTAGAGATTCACTAAGTTTTTCACTTGAGAAAAATACAGGAAAACTGATTGCTAATAAGAATTAGCCACGTAAAGTCCAAAATCTCTAAATCGAAAACATTCATGAAAATTGAAAAGGAGTATTTCAGGAAAGGAGAACAACTGTAAGCTCCCATAGAGGAAAGAACGAGAGATGATCAAATAATTCATAGAATCACCAGGACCAGCAGTTGCTGGATATATAGACAAGTAAATAAATATATGAACAGAGTATCATGAAACACTAAGCATAAGGTTCCACAAAGTACCTTTTGGATGTCATCAAAGATGGGCACGAAGACATCTTTATCATAGTTGCTCATTTTGTTCTGGAGAACAGAAGTCAATCTTTCTAGACCCATTCCAGTATCGACATGCTTAGCAGGCAGAGGTTTTAGAGGGCCATCTTTGCTTTCTCTGTTGAACTATATTGTAAAAACACG